CTGTAATCGACTTTTCTCCAGCCAACTGACTGAATAGCATGGCCTTGCTCTCAAGCTCCCTCTGCTTCTCTTTGAGCTCCTGCACAAAACAACAACAACAAAAACAAAGAAGCATAACAAAAGAGACCAAGTACAGCAATTAAATATTGACTGGGCAGAAAAGGGCGGCCAACGTTACAGCCTTTCCAACTTGATATTTCCATGTATGCATGCATGAAGATGTCAATTTATAAAAAGGGACAGCAGATGATGATTTGTATCTCTCCCATAGTAATCCCACAAAGCCCAGGTGTTGCTAGTGGGACTGTTGCAAGAGAGAATTAGTTTCAGCACCAGCTACCAAATCCTGGCCTACTGTTCAGAGACCACGACCTGCTTAAGATGCTGTCTCACTGTCCTCTCGATACCACTGCTTAGAGCAACTCTAAACTAAACAGAGCATTCTTCAAGTCAGCCATGTGGACAAACTAGATGTGCATTTTCACCTTGATCTCTTTAAGCATGGCCAGTCTCTCTTTGTCCTGGGAGCTCATCGTTCTCTTCTCCAAAGCTATTAGTCTATCCATCAGTGACTGGTCTGATGAACTAAAGGGGCAGACAAACAAATCATATTAGACAAAGAGGCTGAAAAACAGGGCAGACAGTACGATTTGAAACAAGTCAGGTATCAAAAAGTCATGTTTACAGGATTCCAGACAGACCTACACACAACAGCATCTTTCTCCGTCACAAAGCCTTTCACGTCAGTCAGACATCATAATACAAACCAAACAAATAATCAGTCTGTGTGGTCTATAACCTGTGGTTACGTGTAGAGGGTGAGGCATCGTGTTCGGATTTCTTCTCCTCTTTATGCTTCTTCTTCTGTGGCTCAGTGCCAGACCCCCCTGTCTCTCGTTCCTCTCTGGACCGCTTCACTGGAGACGACGGCAGATGGAAAATTAACAGTTTAGTATTCAGTGCAGTGTAACAACGGTGTCTGTGGGGGCTCTCTAGAGTGTAAAGCAACTCAGACAAAAATGGCACAGCATCAGTCAAAGCTGCATTGCAGTGCTTGAATTAAAGCCAGCCGCAGCAGGTAAACATGAGGAACATCTTTGAGAGAGTGCAGTAGGAAAGACAACATCAGAACAACAAAAATGCAAGTGGAGCACCAGTTTTACAAAAAACAAAAAAGACAAACATCCATCTGACCCAGAGACAGCCGTTTACTGTTAGTCACCATCCTCTCGGATGTGACATGGGTGCCCCCTGTTGGCCTTTGGCTCTTCCTGTTTCCCAATAAAATGCCTTTTTATACTCTAGTGGCCCCTAACTGAAAAAAGTGAGTGCTTTTCTCACCTGGCACCACAGCCACAGTTTCGCGGGTGAAGGGCTTGTTCACAATGAGCTTGGATTTGGCCGCAAAGTTGAGTGCACTGAAGGTGTCAAAATAATATTTGTACTCTGGTGCAATATTGGTGATCATGACGGAGTGTGCCGAGCCCCCCAGAGAGTCCTGCAGAAGCCGTGTTAGTTTACTGTCCCTGTACGGCACGCGCACCGAAGTGCCCGAGTTTAGAGAGTCAACAACTTTGCTGAGTGTGAAGAGAGACAGGTTGATGGCACCACTCTCCTTCAGGCGGATGCCCTGGTTGCCGGTGCGGCGGTTGTCCTCTGAGCCAGCCAAATCGACCAAGTACAGTTTGCCTGTCTGTTGTCTGTGGGGAAGTTGCTGTTGAGTCCGTACAACCTGTATCATTGCAGAGATTAAGAATGGAAAAGCAGCAGCGACACAGAAGTCAGGCAGGAAAAACGAGGAGGTGGTGAAGAGTCATGGGGTGAAAGGAGAAAAAAAAAACAAAAAAAAACGAGGATTACATTTTATGAAAACATGACAACAAAGGGAAAAAACAAAGAATAAATGAAGAAAAAGGACAGCAGATAATGGTTTGTGTTTCTCTCCCATAGTAATCCCAGGAAGCACAGAAGTTGCTAGTGGGACTGTTGCAAGAGAGAATTGATTTCAGCACCAGCTACCAAATCCTGGCCTACTGCTCAGAGACCACGACCTGCTTAAGATGCTGTCTGGCTGTCCATTTGACACTAACAAATAAAACAGTTCAATAAACTACACCAAGATCATCAAACCTTAATGAGAAGGATAGCGTGGCTGCGGCTGGAACGCTGGTTTAGCTTAGTAGAAGCTGTAGTACGGTTGAGCGTCGCAGGGACAAAGTGTTTGTCAAAATCTGCGAATTTGCTAATGTTCATGTGTGTCAGGCCAGGGATAAGGATGTTCTTGTCTTTGTCCTCTCTGATGGGTAAATCCTGGGAGTTTGGCGACAGAAGATCAAGCACCTGAGAAAGGACCAGAACAACAAGAATAAGAAAGCGGTAATTGATGAATGATGCACACTAAAAGAAAAAAGGTACATTTAAAAGGTTCAGAGGCCATGCAGTGGAAAATGTAGTTAGAAGGTTTTTCAGTAAATTCAAGAAGACTGGAGGCTAAAAAGCTGTGCGCGCCCCCTTGTTTTATTAAATCATGCTGAGGGCCAGTGACCTGAAACTGAAAGGGTAGGCTGAAAATGTTTTCACACATGAAATTTTAAGTCAACCGATTCAAATATTTTCCACATTTGTTCATTTTGACAGGTAGCGCAACAGGAAATAAATCTGCTTCAAAAGGCTTCATACTACGACATGTGTATGATGTATGATGGTGTCTACAAAAGGGAACTGCATGAATACAGCAGGTAAGAGCTGTCCAATCTGACAATGCACTGAGTTTTTATTAGAGAGCTGGCAGGTTAAAGGCTGGCTAACATCCTATCCGACTGCATCAGATATCTGCATTCTCACATACAGCTCTGCTGGGTGGGGCCAAGGCTACCCTGCACGTGCCAAAACATCTTAGTTTGGAATACACCATCTGCATAATAATACTATTGGCTTAAATTTGCCGAATTAAGGGAGTCAGCTTTTGGTCAACATAAAATCTTCTAAGGGTATTAATAACATTTCTAGAGAAGTGTCCATTGGAAACGGAAATATTTCCACTTTTAAAATGAACATAAAGGCAATTTTATTTTCAATACAGGGTTTTAATCAGGGCTGAAAAAAAAGATTGACCACACTATAATGATTTTCTGTTTTATACAACAGAGTTTCGCTTCCTAAGGTGATATAACAGGGAATTTCATAGAGTTCTGTCAATTAAGGTAACCAAGATTCAATACCTGAGCTGTTTAGAGACATTTGAAACTATTTTACAACCTTTGGAACAAGTAAATACCAAAGGTTCATTTGATCCATTTAAATCTAGAGAAAAAAAAAAAAAAAAAAAAAAAAAAAAAGGAACACAACCACCACAAATCCCCCCCCCAGCTCTCTATAATGCTATAAAATGCAGAAACACACTTCTTAAGAGCAAAGACAATGTTTTCTAACACCTCAACTTGAATGACCACCAGCTGCATTACTTTGCTTAATCATGAACAGAAAGCCAGAAATAACCGTACGCTCTTTCTACTTAAACCATTCATACCTTCTCATTGTAAATTTCCAAATACGACATGCCAATGCTATAGTCCCATCCATCACTCGCATCCTTGGCTTTCACCAGCTTGAAGACCTCACGAACAGCTCGGGGAATCACACCTGGCTGCTCTGAACTCCCCAGCATGGTGTGGGTCTTACCTGTGAAAGAGGATGCAAAAGCCTAGAGTTAGAAAAGGGTGTCTTTGAGGAGCCAAAATATCTATAAACAAAATCATTGTGACCTCTCACAAGTCTTAACAGCTTAATTTATAAATGCATGTGCACAGCTAATATACACGTTTCTTGAAACCCTGTAGACTGTGCTTCAACATACCAGCTCCTGTTGGCCCATAAGCAAACACACTGGCATTCTGTCCGTTAAAGATGTGCGGCAGAATGGGCTTCACTGATGAGAGGAAAACTTCTTGCTGCGTCGTTTGTTCACCATGAAAAACGTCGAAGCTAAAACAATAACAACAACCACAGCTCTCTTAATATTTAAAGCTAGACAATCACTGAAATCTTTACCGATATGCATATATACATAACAGATTATTAGGAAGGCACTGACTGGTATTTAACAGTTTCTGTGGCGTTCCTCCAGTTGATTATCTCCAGGTTTTGAGAGTCCAGGCCTCTTACACACGGTCCCTCGCTTTTCTCATCTTCTTTGTTCATATACGGTCGCAGACGAACAGCTACGCGGACCCTGGATGTCTTCTTGTTTCCTCCATCTGATACCGCCACACGCGTCGCCATTATTGCGCTTCCAAAAAGAAAGGCCCGAATAAAGTTTAATAATAAGCTAACTAGTTAGCCACGAACGTGCTTGAAAATGACAGTTTGTGTATAACAGCACTGCATTAAAACGCATGGCATTCAAATGAAACCTCTCCTGATAAGCTGTGTTTCCTTACTGACGAAAGCCTCTCTCGGCTAATAACAAGCTAAAGCTGGATAGCTCAGTCATAACTTCTCCAAAGAACGGATGCTTCTCGACTGGCTAATAATAGTCACAAAGCCAAAGCCTGCTATATGCTTACCGATATTATTTGAGAATGTCTGAGACAAGCCACACCTTTGTTATGCCCTAAATTTTCCTTCCAGCAACATTTCGGACGCTTGGTTTTAACAATGGCGACCGCGTCCCTTAAAAACTTGAGCGACTAACCGAACACTTTTTCAAATGCAGAGCGCAGAAACCGGAAGCGGCCGTAAACCAATCAGAATTTTTTTTTGAACCAATCAGAACTCGCACAAATACTGGCGCCTGTTTTACGTCATGCGTCCATATTAATGTGATTTGTGGCTTTTCTGATTACATTTGTCAGGTTTACGCTACACAAACGTACATATACGTACGTTTTAAAAACAACAAGAACAACATGAACAGAAAAGCAAAGGAAGCTAATACAAATTTCGCTCTGTCTGCCCGGAGACCTGCTCGCGCTTGCGCAGTGTGCAGGAAGTCGCGTCGAGCGTAGATCTCCAAACCATTCCCCTCTACTGCTGGAGTGTCCGCTCGCAGTGAGTGTGGATTATCCACATGACGTTGTATCAGCGATGAGGTGAAGCTCCCCCGCCCCGGCAGTGCAGAGGCTCAGGCAGATCCCTACAGCCAAAATGGCGCAATGTTTACGTCTGTGCATAAGCGTTTGTTATACTTAGTGACTCTCATGGGGAGTTTTTACTGGAAAAGTATTTGACTCAACGTTTTAATCGCTTTCACAGCAGCACCGATCCGGAAGAAGCCGTTAATGACGATTTAAGGCACGTATGTTATTAGCAGATTAACTACTGTTTAAGAAATAGCTGGCGGTTAGGCCTGACGTTAGCTAGCCGCTTGTTTTAGTTGACTGTACGTTCACTTATCCTTTAACAAAAGTAAACAGCTACGGCTAAAAGTTATAGCCTCTAAAAAATCCTCTTAATCTACACAGTTGTGTATACCCGAAGTTAGTTTCAGCTGCACTAAAATGTTTTCTAGATCTAAATGGCAGGCTTCTGTTCAGCAGATCTGTTGCGAGAAACTTCACCAGCAGGAAGCATGCAAGCTGAGGCCACAGACACCTCACTGAAAGAGGGCATAGAGGTTCTGAACATGAAGGACTCAGAGGAAGCTGCAGAGGGCAAAGAGGACGAGGACAGCACGAAGCAACCGGATACGGAGATGGCAGAGGAGGACGACGCAACAGCCAAGGAGGATACAGGTACAGTACACGCGTAAAGATACATGCATGGGCAGGTGTAGTGAAAGGACGCACAGTAGACAGGAAGTTTCATTATCAGGGTAAAAGTCTTCAGTGTGGACAAGCATGTCCTGTACAGGTAACTAGTGTGAGTCTGAAGTATCAGCAAGGACAAATATCCGCCCATTTTCTTAAATGCTTATTCACCCAGGGTCTGGTGTGGGTGTGGTGCTGGAGTTGGCATTAGTGTGGTACACCCTGCGCCAGTTCTTTGTATGTAAGTTAAAAAGAAAAAGCAAACAGACTGCTGGGACTAGATATAAGCTGATGTTTCTGTTTTTAACTGTAATATTTGCTTATATTGCTATATAGACTGCAGTCAACTGGATTTATGATGGGGGATGTATATTTAAATGTATATTTAAAATACAGAAATCAAGTATCTTTATGACCCTGCGTCATTATACCTAGATTATCCAATCTAGAGCACTTAACAAAAAAACCTAGTCATCCAAACTGTTTTTCAGGGTTAAAAGACAGCAATAAAATGCAAAAACCATCTATTAAAGAAAACAAAAAATCAATACAAAATATTAATATTAGAATCAATCCAATTGTGAACTTTAAGAAAGTTGGAGGTCTTTTAATTTAAAAAAAATATATATATATATATAAGTTAAAAAATGGTTTCTATGAAACTATTCAGTAAAGCCACTATTGCTCAGTAACTGATCCAGCCTTCATTAGAAAAGTCTGTGTTGTTCTGTGCCCTGATGTACTTGATCACTTCAAGTCTTTTGGCTTTTGTATCACTTGCTGCAGAGAATATATTACACACGAGAGAAATGTTAGCTCCTGCTATCAATAAATGTCACCACTGATTTTCAAATAGTTTTGCTATTTGCACCCCGATGCCCATCAGTGGGTGTGATGTTGATGTTCTGTTGACATATCAGTCCGTCCCTACGTAGAGCTTGTCACAGAGAAGTCAAAGCAGTGTGTCTGAAAGATGTTTAAATTGGACCTATTATGTGTATTGCTTTCTGTCATACATACAGTACTTTTTGCAGTGCTGATTGCTCCTATTAAACATGGCTAAACCTTCACATATTGAGGTCAGTGTATGTACAAGTAATCCCCTTCAAAAGTCCAGCCTACAATCTACACATGGATCTGTCAGTGGAAGCCAGTATTCCTTATGTGGTTGCCTCACACATCGTCAACACGGACCTGCAGTTCAGACCCTCTGAGGGGCAGCCAATCAGAACAAAAGCATGTAGCTCTAAATTGAAGGCGGGGAGCTACATCAAAGCCCAGTATAGGGTTAATCCACAATAAAATGTCGCTTTATTATTGTTTTTAAAAGAGATTTTAAACTGACTGTGTACGTTTTTTTTCTCAGATGGGAACACAGATGCAGTGGGAGGAGAGGCGCAGCAGGATGAATCTCAGGCAGACGCAGGGGTGGAGGCTGAAGATGGAAAACAGAAAGCCGAAGAGGCGAACGGTGACTGGGAGCTTCCGTACAGCGACGAGGAAATGGAGGACCCCAAAAACTGGATGCCTCCTCCCGCAGAGATCAAAAGACTCTATGAGCTCCTCGCTAAAGGAGATATGCTGGAATTGAACTTTGTGCCCCTTCCTAGAAGGCCCCCCACGCCTGAACAGACCTCTTCGCCCGAAAGAGACGAAGAGGAGGAGGCAGCCAAGGAACGGGAGAGGCAGGAGAGGGAACGCAAGTCAGTGTTGCTTTTCTTTTTGGTCATTTCAGGATTAAGGAGTTTGGTTCGAGTGCTTTTGGTTGGTCATGTTTCGTTTTGTTTTTTCAGGCCTCCAACTCCAACTGAGTTTGACTTTGATGAGGAGAAAATGCAAACCACTCCAAAAAATGCTTTCCTAAGCCGGCGCAGGACTCCTGGTATGTCACAATCAATTATTTGTGTTGTCTCTTTATAATCTGGACTTTTTTGTCTTTTATTTAATAATGATTTTTGCCTGTTGTCTCCCAGGATCTTCTGCCCGCTCCTCTGTTAAAAGGGAAGCTCGGCTGGACAAAGTATTGTCAGACATGAAGCGCCACCGCAAGATTGAGGAGCATATCATGCGCACAGGAAGAGATCTCTTCAAGAGTGACAAGAAGCTGGAGGAAGCCCTTTCTCCAAACAGCCAGAGGGAGCGGGAGAAGGAGAGGGAACGGGACAGCAACCCCAACACCATCTTCTCACCACGACAGAGGAGATACTGATGGTTTCTTTTGAGACAAGGACTTGCCCAAAGGCATCTAAAGCCAAGCATTTCCCTGAGGCTTTCTAAAAAAACTTGAATTTTTTTTAATGTAACAAGTTTTGTATGTTTTATGTGTTTTGTATGATGGCAATAAAAATTTTAACCCTGGAGGACATCCCTCACCTGTTATACTCTGAGCGTACTGACAGTTTATTTCAATCTGTGGCTAAATGAATATGATGATATCGTTATGATTCTAAATTATATAATAAAGCTACTTTTGTCTGCTCCCTTGTCACAGGTGGTGGCCACAGTGGGTAGCTCTGCTTTGATTTGAGTTTTATGCAGGGTATAATATAATGTACCTGAAAACACTATTTAATGAGGATTGCGTTACAAAGTAATTTAACTGATGGAGTCACTTTGATCTTATGAAACTTGTGTTTTTGGCCGTAATGCAAGAATTCATATACTAAATGAAACAACTGGTGACAAAGGTATTTCTCCCATATTGGTTTCTCTTCACTGGCTTCCTTTTTAAATCCAGAATCAAATTTTAAATAATTCTCCTCACATACAAGCTCTTAAATAATCAGGCCCTTTAAAGACCTTATAGTACTGTGTCACCCTAATAGAGTCCTTTAGTTTCAGACTGCGGGCTTACTGTGGTTTCCAGTAAAAAGTAGAATGGGAGGCAGAGTCTTCAGCTTTCAGGTCCCTCTTCTGTGGAAACCGGCTCCCAGTTTGGATTCAGGAGATAGACACCCACTCTACTTTTAAGATCAGACTTTAACCTTTCCTTTTTGATAAATATAAGGTGACATTGAATAATCCTGTAGTTACACTGGAGGATTGGGTGGGTCATGGGGCCCACTGAGTGTTCTTCTTCACCCTCTCTGTGGATACACCTCTCTGCATTTAATATTAATCTGGCTCTCTTCCACACTGTGTCTTTGTCCCGTTTCCCTCCCCTCACCCTCAACCAGTTGTGGTGGATGGCTGCCCCTCCCGAGCCTTGTTGTGCCTGAGGTTTCTTCCTGTTTGATGGGAGTTTTTCCTTCCCACTGTCCCCAAGTGCTTAAAAGGGGGGTCCTATTATTGTAGGGTCTTTACCCTACAATGTAAAGCACCTTAAGGTGATTGTTGTTGTGATTTGGCGCTAACAATAAATATGAGGTGCTAACTTGGCAGGCTAATGTTGTAAGTACAAAGAAATTTAAAGCATTTCATTTCAATTAAAATATGACTGAAGTGCCGATTTTTAGCTTTAATTTTGAGGCTCTACAAATATTTTGCTTTGACAAAAGTAATTGAACAAACTAATATAACTTTAAACATAAGGACTATTTTTAGTACTTGATGAAAATTGTTTGCAGTCAATGAAGTCCTGAAGTCTACAACTCATGGACATCACCGAATGCTGCGTGTCCTCCCTCCAAGTCCTCTGCTGCAGCCACCTTCAGTTGCTTGCTTGCTTGTCTCTTTGTCATCAGTTTTGTCTTACCAAACTCCAAAGCATGCTCTTTTGCATTGAAATCAAACTCTTGGGTTGCTTTTGCAGTTTGCTTTGGGTCATTATTCATTAGCACCTATCAATTATGGAGTATTTAGCTGAATCTGAGCAGAGCACAGTGCTGCACACTTCACAAATCATCCTTCTACTCCTGTCAGCAGTCACATCATCAACACCAGAGACCAGGTTCAATTAGCAGACATGCTAAGCTGTTCCTTATCTTCTTCATACTTTTCTCTTCCCATATTTTAGTACACATTCATTTTTGGAGCTCACATTGCCAGTTCCACTGAACAGTCTCCAATTTCAATTTCAGCACTTGGTATCAGCTCCACATCTCTTGCTTGAAACATTTGTCATGAAATAACATGAGAACACGCCTCATCTGGACATCAAAACTATGTCTGAGACTCTGAAAATGAGGACGTTTGTAGAAAAATGGTTGCAATTCCAAAACCTTTAATGCGAAATATTTGCATTAAAGCTGCAAGTCTGCACTTCAATTACATCTGGACTGTTTGATTTAAACTACTATACGACTAATATTATAGATGTTATTAGGGCGTAGAATTTAAAAAATGCATAAATCTGCTTCATGTGGTCTCATTAATAATTTGATACCTCTGTATATTTGAGAAAATAAGACATTTGATTACAACAGTTTTGTTTTTTTTCCAAGGGTAGCTGCACAGGCAGACTACCCTCACTGACCCTCACTAACCTCTGATGCAAACCCAGTCATTTTGTTTTATAAACAGGCCCCAAATATGAAAGAAACATCTCAGTTCAGAAAACAGCTTCAAGGGTTACTCCGAGTAGGCCTTCAAGGGGGTAAAGAAAGCTGTAAGTACAGAGCTGCAGTGGTGACAATGAATAAACTTTTCAAAATCACACAACTTCACTGATTGTGGCACCCTCTACTGGCTCATTCCTACCTAGTGATGGAGCTACACAATCAGTCTGATTTTAAGTACTAAAAGCTTTAAAAAAAAAAAAAAAAAAAAGAGTCGAGACAGGTTCAGGACAGAGAAGTATATTTTAGCTAAGATTGAGTAACAATACAGCCTTCACATGAGGCTCAGAAGCATAGAGTATAATATGTATGCATAAATATGCATTCAAAACCACAAACCAAATAAATAAATAAATAATAAATACTTACAAATAAATAACAAGCATTTCGTGGAATATACAGTACATCAGTTGAAATGTTTTGAGTATTGTCAAGAAGCAGTACCTTATGAAGTCATGGAACAGGGGAATGGATATTCTGTGTTCAACATGCCCATGGCTCTCCAGATGCTTTGGCACACACTTCCCTGTCTTTGATGGTTTTTAAGCTGTCTGAGTTTTTTGTTTTTCCTGTTTTGTTTCCTTGACCCATTTCCAGAAAAGTGTAGCTACTTAAAACAAACATGAAATCATACAAAACAAGCTTGTTTGTTCGAAGAAGGTTCATAGAACCAGTGGCTCAAATGATTGGAACATTTCATACAGGGCTGAAAGGCTTAACTCACAGACTTAACAGCAAAAAAAAAAAGTAACAAATGTGCTTCCTTGTCTTTGTTGTTCCCCTTCAAACTTTGACATTACGAGACCCCCTAACGGAGCTAGAAACACTCAAACATCACAGATCCCTTTGTGAAATATTCCTGCAAAGTAATTGGTGCTGTTGTACAACACCAAACAATTAAAAGTAACCATCTTATATGTAAAAATAATAATGATAATAATAATAATAGTGATGAAAAGGAATCTACACAATCTTTATCTACACTGAAACGAGGACCACTGTGGAAATATCTGAGGGTAGTTTGCGTTCACTAAGCTGTAAGACTGTGAAATGTTTCCGTCTTAACGTCGAACTGTCAAAAATGTCGGATGCAGAAGTCGGACAAAGCCTAAGAAAATAAATAAACACTGACCTAATACTGACATGGAATGACTTTTTCTTCTTTTTTAAAACATCTGCTATGTACAACCATCACATTTTTCTGTCCGAGGGAAAGCCTCTTCCTTCTTTCTTGAGAGTAAAAAATAATAATATTTTAAAAAACTAAAACATAAAGAATCAGGGGGAGGGGAGCAGGAGGGAGGGATAAGGCAGCAGAATACAGTCGTATGAGATTATCTCCGTTCTAAAGATGAGTCAGTCTGCAGGTCGGTTACATTTTTGTTAGAGTGACAGTGACTACATAGAGGATACAGATAATAAACACTAACAAGTCAAAATACTGTTTAGCTGGGATTTTTTTTTCTTTTTTGAAGGTCTTCTTCATTACTAAACTGAATTAGGCCTTCCATCTACAGCGAACATACTAACATACAATATAATACATTCCTATTTTCCTGCTCTTCCAGGAGGCAGAGAGGACTGAATTTGATCTACGTGAGGGGAAACGGCCACCTATGCTTGCTGTACATCCAGGCAACTTCCTCTCTAGTCAGTGCATGTTCCTGTCTGTCACAGTGCCCGAAGACATCTTAAATACTGAGCGCGCCAACACTTCCTTTATGTTTCCTACAAACTAAGAGGCTGAAGTACTTGAAGGCTAGCCGCTGAAGCGTTTAACTGTTTTGCTGGCTACAAGCACTTCAGCACAATCTGAGGCCACCGTCTCAGCTCGTTTCAAGTCTCGCTTTCCTCCTTGCAGCGTTCCTTCCTTTACATACTCATTGGTACATTCGCCTTCTTTCCCTCCCCCGCCCCCAGCCTCCCCTCCACACCGCTCCTCTCAGTGCGTGGCCAGCTCGGGCTCTGTGGGGAGCGTGCTGTAGCCGTTGGCGGGCTGGGGCAGAGCGTTGCCATCCCTCTGGAGCTCCTTAGCGGCGGCGGCGGTCGGGTGCGGCCTCTGCGAGCGGGAGGTGCCCGTGAACAGTCGCAGGGCGCCTCTGCAAATGAGGGAGAACCAGTAGAGCTGGGGCGCCATAAGCAGAGCAGCGCCGAGGTTACAGTGCCAGGGCACCGTCAGCGGAACCATGTGGAAGGGAATGGATGCGTACCTGGACCCAAAACGGGGAGGAGACAAAAAAAATTGCAGGGTTGTAAAACGTGCGCTCACAAACCTTTCTAGTGGCTGTGCAAGTCACTGACCCGAGTTCAGCCAGACAGCAGAACAGAGATGGAAAGAAAGACATACCTTCCGTAGACGTAGTAGAGGTAAGGGAAGAGTAGGACTCGACAGATGAAAAAAGTGATCAGCATAAGAGCCCCATTCACTTTGTGCAGGAGAGTGTGCTGCTGTTTGTACTGAGAGCGGGAATAAAAAGAGAGAGGGAGAAAGAAAAGCAAGCGGTACAGTTTGGTGAAAGCCACCGATGTTAATCTTTGACTGTAATACTGTTAATTCTAATATTGTTATATTTGTTAATGCTATCTAAACAAGACGAGGTGGAAAGCACAGTGTAATGCTCCTGGCTGGAAAGGTGGGAGGGCAGGGAGATGCTGCAGCAGCCCCTTTTTACACCCTCATTAGCTTAAAGCTTTATCTTGAACCTGTTTTTGTGAGATAACACAGAGCACAAACACACATCTGCCTAAGAGGTTTTTCCTCGTGCCCATTCACTAATCTCACATGCTAGAATTACATGGCATCCCATCAATAAGAACCCTTTTGTATTACATAGGGTTTTATTTTAGTTATTTCTTTAAGCAGG